CATGGGGGTTTCACCTGCAGACTGTGCACCCCCTCTGTTCCCTTCCCCATGTGCCTCTTGCACACTTACTTACTCGTTCCCCTCCCTCTCAGCACTTTTAAAGCACCATGAATTGCCTGATTCACGCCCCTAGTTGTGTACTCAGGTGTCCACTTTCATACTCCCCAGCCCACACTTATGGTAGTCACAGATGTGTTGAATCAGGACTGGGGAGTGCATCTGGGGAATTTTCAGACTCAGAGCCTGTGACTCGATGACAAGACACTTCTTCACATCAATGTCAAAGAGCCTTGGGTGGTTCGTTTTGCCCTTCAGACCTTTCACAATGCTATGTGAGGTCACAGCATGAGAAATTCTGACAGACAATACCGCCACCATGTTCTGTATCAAAAAGCAGGGCAGCACTCGATTGTTGCTACTGTATCGGGAAGCTCTCCCTCTCTGGGATTTTTGCATAGTCCACTCTATCCACCTGGAGGCTTCTTATCTCCCAGGAGTGTGGAACATGGTAGTGGATAGTCTCAGGTGATTGTTGCTCAGCCTTGCGTGGTCAGTAAGACGCCCTCCATGCCATCTTCTGCTTTGGGAGTACAGGAGCTGCCGAAAAAGCTCCCCACTGTCAGCAGAGCCGCAGTTATACTTTACTTTCACTTTTGACACTGAGCTCGATCAGCATTGGAACGTGAATATGCAAATGAAGCCCAGGATATTTAAATCCCGGGCTCATTTGCACTTCCAAAATGCTTGATTTGCATCCCTCTCTCTGCAGAGGGATGCAATCTAGACATACCCCTACAGTGGATCACTATAGGGATACCCATCCCAAAGAGTTATCTTTACTGCACAACCTCCTCTTCTATTAAGTATTCAGTGAATTAGAAGCTGGATGCTTAGAGAGGGATACACAGAGGTGTTGGTGTATGTCTCTTGCAGATCTGTACAGAGAATTGAAGACTCAGGAGGCCTGGAAGGCAGGGCTTGTGTTGCTAGAGTCTGGGGGAGTCGGGGAGCTCACTCACAGCAGACAGATGATCTCCTTACTCTAAGAGCAAGTGGTAAGTGAAATGTCCTGGGAAGATGGCCCTAGGGTTGGCAACTCAGTTGTTAGCTGTTATTTTCCAGCCCAGCATGGCCTGTAGAATGCCATGGAGCCCAAGCTAATGGTGCTGCACACTCCTGTCATCCAGAAGAGCTGGTTGAGTTCCCAATTCTCACTCCAGCTAGGCATCAGCGGAGACTGTTGCAGAATCTTGTTAGCTTTCCTTGTGCTGTGCCACATAGGAGATCTAGATTTGTTATCTCATTATTGCTCCAAGGCTGGGTGTATTGAAGGGAAAATGATCATTGTACAATGAAAAGGACAGCAGAGATGCATAGAAATGGAGTGATGGCTGCCAGAAATATCTGTACCAATTGTTCAGTGGGAGGGGCCCACGCTGGCACTCACTTAATTAAAGCTGTACCCGTAACAATTACTGAGCTTCTTCAGTCCCTGACAGCTTCTTGAAACATTTTTGCATGTGGATTCACATTTAATCCTGAGGGAATTCTGCACATCTGCAGACTCTCAGAACTCTTCTATACCACATGATTTTATATGTTCCTGCATAAAATCCATTTTGCACAAGAAGAGCTGCAGTTCTGTCTTTTGCCCATGAGAGGCTGCTTTGGTGCCAGAATAGTCAGCTGCATGAACACCCTCAGTTCCTCTACTACTCCTGCGGCTTCCAACCCTTTTCAGTACTTCTGACCTGTGCCGGAAATACAGTTCTGCATTGTAATTTAAATGCATTATTCAGTTTCTGCAAGGAATCTATTTGTCAAAAAAAATGACCAGAATAGTTTTGTTTGTATTGTTCAGACATAGTTGCTGACACATATTTTGAAATAAAATACCAAAATAATTGAAACTGGCAAAATTAAATGTTATTTTTAGAACTAAAATATGAGGCATTTTTCAGAATTTTTGTTTTTTGGCACAGATATGCGCACAGCAATGCACACTGCATTTCTGTCAATTGAGAGATGTTGCAATCGATTGACCTCTCTGTGTCCCAAGACATGTTGCTCATATGTGTTGCACCATGTTTCTAGTTTGATCCTCTACATTATTAACAGTGATCTCTTGATATTTTTGCACCCTAGGCTGTGTTTGCCAAATGTAAAGAAGAGCTGTCACAAAGAATGGATTGATCTGTGAACTCCTGGAATGTCCAGTTTTGAAGGAAACCACAAGCCAATAGGTATTTAACATTACAGAACCATAGGACACGGATAGTGGTGGGAAGCTGGGTAAACTGTTTTGATCTGCCACTTCTTTACAGCCTTATGCACACAAGGGAAATATCTCAAGTGTCCCATAGTTGCTAACACTGGTTCAGATCCACCAGTGTGAGTGATGCTAGAAGCCCTAACATAGACAGCCAGTTACAGTGGAAATAACCTGAGCTAAATCGAGGGCCATGCGGGAAAGGCAGAGGAGAGATGAGAATGGTGATTCTTCTTCGAGGGATTGCTCATATGCATTCCAAATTAGGTGTTCATACATGTATATGCACATTAGCTGGAAGACTTTCCCCCACCAGCTAGCTGTAGGATTGCCACGTAGAGTCGTACCTCTATGGTGTACATTATAGCACCCCGCTTTCCTCCCCTCTCAGTTCTTTCTTCCCTCCAGTGACA